CTGTAGTAAAAAAATTAGATGTGACTGTTTCTGAAAATTTTTTACTGTAACAAAACTCAAATTCTAAACTCGAACTGATGAAGTGAACGGGCCTCAGATTAAAGTAGGCACAAAAAATATAACAAATAGAAGTAATTAAGTGTATATGCTGTTATAGAAGTAATTAAGCATATATTGCTTGCTTAAAGGAAACCAAATAACAAATAGTTGATTGTCCACAGTTTATGACCTATGGCTATCGCTTTCAACGATATTGTATAATTTGCTCCTTTTATGTGCTATTTTGTTTGTTTTGTTACCGAATTTGTTGTCATTAGTGGCCAAAAAAAAAAAAAAAACTATCCTTCTAATTGGTTTTTCTTCTTCCAAACCTTTTAGTAAGTATATATTTAAATATCTTATTACATGTTTGAGATAACCAACTATCTCGATTAGTATTTAGCACGTTGGTGAGTTTTTTTAATGTATCGAGTCTTGAGTTCAAGTTATAAGGGATGTAGTGCTGAAACTTTAGACGGACCGTCTGCGACCACTGAAAATTTTAAATTTTTACCCGATGACCGAACCCGTACGAACATGAATTTTCGGGCTGCCCAACTCAACCCGAGCAAGACTTTGGACGGACTTCAGACAAATTTTAACTATCCGATCCCGATCAGGCAGCCCGAAACCGCCCGAGATGTCTGACCTAATTTTTTATATAGTTATATACTATTATATATATTATATATAATTTTATTTATTAATCGTTAATGGGTAATTAAAAAAAAAGACACGCTTGGGACTCCTTTGTTATGTTCTAATGAGAAAATTGAATTTTTTTTTGTTTTTTTTTTGTTTTTTGCCCCGGTTACAAGACTGAGAAATGTAAGTGGGCAATTGATCCCTCATACCCGGGGCATAGATTAGGTTGGGAATATGGATGAGACAGTCAAACAATACGAAAGAAAACGCATGGAATCTCGAACCAATAATAGGATTCACTTCTCTCAACTTTTTTAGTACTATGTTCTTGTTCATCCTGTGTGGAAACTTTTTCTCTTCATCTTTTTTGGTTTTTGTTTTATTGTCGTTGTTACCTTTCTAAATCATATGCTGCAAGGATCTAAAATGATGAACATAGATAAGATATCCTTCCACGATAGAGAGAAGAAAGGAAAAAAAAAATCATGAATTACTGATAATTATATATTTTTCAGTTATTAGATATATATTAAAAATTATTTATTTTATATAATTTTTTAATCTAATCTCATCTGACTAGCCTACGAGAAAATGTCCTAAAAAATAATGAATAATATCCAAACTTGACTCTTTTGTTTCTGTATGAATGCATATACATATCTAAGATATATATGTGGAAAATTCAATGGTCTGTTCGTTCTTGAACTATAAATATTGTATCTTTTTGAAAAGGTAAGAATTGTAATATAACATTTAGGGAGATAGAGGGAAATATGTTAAGGCCCCGTTCATTTCGCTGATTCGAGTTTAAAATTCAAGTTTTGCTACAGTAAAAAGTTCTCACAAACAGTCACATCTAACTTTTTTGCTACAGTAAAAAGTTCTCACATAAAATCACATCTCAACTCGAATTAACGAACTAAACGGGCCCAAAACTTGAGATGAATTAAAATTAATAGGCCAATAGTTTACATAAGTTAATAAATATGCCAAATTATTTTTGTCCACAACTTGTCTGGTTATGAATCATAACTTGACAAGTTATTGTCCATAAATCACGGTTTTTGTCCATAACTTGTTTTGCTATGAACCATAACTTAACAAGTTTGTCCATAACTTATCTGGTTATGAACCATAACTTGACAAGTTATGATTTATTAATTTCTATAACTAAAAGTTGGCCTATATACTACTTCCTTAAGCTTTTCATATTGGCATATTTTATACTATTTTCGTAACATTTAATTCGTCAGACCGAAGATTTTTGGTGTTACGTCTTTTTGATATTAAGAATTAAGTTCGAATAAATATTATGACACACTTCTCTATTTTATATATTACAAGAGAAGTATGATCTTCTAAAAACGAGTATATACAGACCCTAATTTACACATATGTGTACAAAGTCTTAGGTTCGGCAACCTAATCAATCTGATACTTGTAATATATTTCTCTACAAATATATGTTATAACATCACTAGTACTTTCATGTAATATCATTTTACTTACAGCCGTTCACTTTGCTGATTCGAGTTTGTAATTCAAGTTGAGATGTGATTTTATGTGAAAACTTTTTACTATAGTAAAAAAGTTAGATGTGACTATTTCTGAGAACTTTTTACTGTAGCAAAACTCAAATTCTAAACTCGAATCGGTGAAGTGAACGAGACCTTAAGCGTAACATTCAACCAACGTTGTAAGTGTTAGGTTACATTTATGGAGTGTTACACGAATGTACGTACAATATTATAATAGATAATGAAAAATGTTACAAGTGGTTGTTTAGGGCTCATTTAGTTAACTGATTTAAGTTTTTAATTCAAGTTAAGATTAATTTTATGTAAAAAAATTTTATTGTAATAAAAAAATTTAAACGTGACTGTTTAAAAAGTTTTTCACTGTAACAAAACTCAAATCAGTGAAATAAATAAGATCTTGGTCTGAATTGTCTTGAATAATTAAGACATTTACTGTGCGTTTAATTGATAGATTTATGTCATAGTTCGAATCATAATTTGTGATTCATTATAATATTTTCTCTCATAAAAAATACACATAAATGAAAAATAATTTTAAATCATATAATATTCTATTATATTCTGAGAGAAAGAGATAAATGGGTGAAAATTATTGACCAAGGGAAATCATTGAAGAGCTCGAGATTAGATGGAGAGAGAGAGTACCAAAAGGGTGGACACTGAAGGGAATTGATTGTTTCTAAGAAAGATATGGGGGTTCCTAAGACCCTAGCAGCCAATTATCCCATGAACAATAAGACCCTAGCAGCAAAATGTTTTCAATCTCAGGATTTAAGTGAGATTTTCCCCACCATTTCATTTTCATTTGCAAATGAAAGCGAGAGAGAGAGAGAGAGAGAATCTCAAGTTTGCAGAAAACAGACGCATCCTTTAGTGGCGGCATACCCTCCTCCTTAACACATACTCTAGACTCTATATATACATCCATCTTTTTTCTCTCTCTCTCTCTCTGCATCTTACATGATATTATTAGTTGGAATTTAGACAGTTTATTTTACTCATTATAGTTAAAATTTTTCATAAAATGTTATATTTAATATTTTTTATTATAGTAAAATTTTTTTATATAAAATTATATTTTAATTTTAATTAAAAACTTAAATATGTAAATATAGATCCCGTTCTTTTGATTGATTCGAGTTTAGAATTCGAGTTTTGTTACAGTAAAAAATTTTAAAAAATAGTCATATTTAATTTTTTTATTACAATAAAAACTTTTACATAATATTATATTTTAACTCAAATTAAAAATTCGAATTAACGAATTGAATGACGGAACGATTCAATAAAATCTGTCCTGGGTTTTTTTTTTAAATTTTAAAATTTTGTTTTTAATTTGGCAAAATTTTTCTGCGTTGATACAAGTGGATCAGTGTCATTTCACTTCATTCTGATAAATATGGGTGTGTCTGCATTTGTGCGCATAGTACTAGCACAAAAATTCACAGCCACAAGGTGGGGCATGCAGTCAATAATTTTTTTTTTTTTTTAAAGATTAGACCGTACGGTTCACACATATCTATCTGATATGCAAAAGTTTCTAAGTGGTATTTGGGTGTCCCCTTCTTCTTATATCCGCTAACACCATCCCCTGCTTCCTTGGTTTTGTCCTTCAAAATCTGTCATCACTCATCATCACACTCCGCTCCCAATATTCCCTTTCGCTGTTTCTTTTTCTTTGAATGATTGACACAGTAACATTGGAGGAAAAATGTTAAGATACACTCTCACTAACTAACGGTGCTAAACATCACTACTAATAAAAAATATATTTAATCTTATGATGCGGGACGTAAATTTTAAAGAACGTTTATTTTCTATATTCGTTCTTGATTCTGAATCATGATTTATGATTCTCTACAGTGTTTTTGTTCACAAAAAATACACGTAAAATGAGAATTATTCTGAATTATGATTCTAAATATATAAACTAAACGTGACCTTATTATTGAGTGATGTTGAACGCTATCGATATTCTATAACGTTGTATGTAATTCGGAGCTTGACGCACTAATAAAAAATGTCTTGTAATATGAGTTCTATAAGTATTTTCTCATTGCTCCACATGAGATCTAATTTACAATAGGATGCCAAAAAAATAGCAGTAAAACTCAAATCCATCATATCACGCGTGCATGCAATTGTTAAGTTCTCCATAACTCATACTTAAGCATACACAAACTGAGTTAAATTTCATAAAAAGTATTCATGCAAAATTGGTTTCTGACATAGCTCACAAGTATACTAAAAAGAGAGTTTTTCTAATAGAATAAAAAAAAATGAATTATATGTAGTTTTTTACATTTTAACAATCAAATTTAAATTAAAAATTATATATTTTACATATTCTTTTAATTAAATTTAACAGTTATAAATTAACCTAATTATAAAAAAGCTTACCGGTGAAAATATATATTTTTTAAAGTACTTTTTGGCCATAATTCATAAGTCCCGTGTATTGGATTTGCAAGTGCTTTCTGTCATGTGCCCATGATCGTTAAACTCAGTCCTTACGGCACAATGTAACTTCTTCAAAGGTATATGGGACCCAACTATCTACTTTTTATTATACAATTTTTTACCGCATATATATATACACACACACACATCACATATGTATTGTTGCATCACTAAATAGCAAATAACACAAATGCTCCTTCAACAGTAAGTCATTAATTGGCCGTTGACGCAAGCAATCATGCTCTCACTCTCTACTTCTCCCTATATATAATCCTAATATATATATATATATATATATATCTTTCTCACCTACCCTTCTATATAAACAGTTCAAACCCCACATCTCCTCTCTCTCTCTCTCTCTCTATATCTCAAATGTTGTCATCATCCTCCGGCAGTGAAGAAATCACCAACAGTAGTAGTAGTACTACTACTTCCAACACAACCAAAAAAACAAAATCCGACTATTCATCTTCCTCTCCAAAATCATCATTCTCTTCCATCCCAAGAACCATGGAAGAAGTTTGGAAGGACATCAATCTCTCTTCTCTCGGCCATGACAACATGATCATCTCTTCTGATCAGCCAAACGCAAACCCTAGCACTACTTTTCCTCCACCTCCTCCTCATCACCACCCCATCAGAAATATCCACCATCAAAACAACTTCCAAGACTTTTTAGCAAGACCCTTTTGTAATAATGACCTAAACTTGCCCAACAAATCCATGGTGGTCTCATCAATGGCTTCTCCTCCTCCTCCTCCTCCTCCTTCTCTTCACCATTCAGCCACTGCCTTGAGCTTGAACTCTGGCCCGGAGTTCCGGTTCATGGATAACCCACTTCATCCTCATCATCGTCATCATAATCATAACCATAATCATCATGATCAGCTTATGAGTAGGCCCACTAGTGCAAACACAAACCCCATGAATATGATGATCAACTCCAATAGTAATGTGTCTTCTCGTTTCATTAACAACAACAACAACAATCTTTTTGACTCATCACCACTTTCTTTTGGGAAGAGATTTCCATCATGTGATAACAGTATTAGTGGTGGTGGATCAGGAGATAGGAGGCACAAGAGAATGGTCAAGAACCGGGAATCTGCTGCTCGATCAAGGGCTAGAAAGCAGGAAAGAAATATTTTATCTTTACTAATTTTTGTGATTTTTTTTTTAAAATTATTGTAAAGCTGTATATGTGTTAGTGGTGATTTGGGGTTAATGGGGTTTTTGTTTTATTTTATTTTTATTTTCTTTACTTTTCTGATGAATGCTACTGATCTTTTTGTCCTCAAAAGTCTTTTTATTGTCTTTGTTGCTATTGGGTCCGTACAGGCATATACAAATGAGTTGGAGCTTGAAGCTGACCGCTTGAAGGAAGAGAATCAAAGACTCAGAAAACAACTAGAACAGGTAAAAAAAAAAAAAAAAAAAAAACTTGGGCTTTAAACATTTTACTATTTTCATTAATCCAGATTAATTTCACCAGAGTTTTTTTTTTTTTTAACCTTTTCTTAATGTTTGGTTACATTTCACTATTTTGCATGAAGATTAATTCCTTCTTCATTAGAGTTTTTTTTTTTTTTTAACCTTTTCTTAATGTTTGGTTACATTTCCCTATTTTGCATGAAGATTAATTCCTTCTTCATTAGAGTTTTTTTTTTTTTTTAACCTTTTCTTAATGTTTGGTTACATTTCCCTATTTTGCATGAAGATTAATTCCTTCTTCATTAGAGTTTTTTTTTTTTTTTTTTTTTTTTTTTTTTTTGGAATGATGAATGATTCAGGTTTGCCAAGCAGCTGCCGCTCAACTTCCCAAAAAGCACAGCCTCCAAAGAACGTCAACGGCTCCATTTTAAGCATAATAATCTCACTGACTTTTTTTTCATTTTAGATTTTAGATTTTAGATTGTTACTTACCTAGCTGACTCCCCCCCTTTTCTTTCTTTTGAGTTTCAAGAAAAGGAATTGATGGGGAATTTCTGCCTTATGTGTAGGATATTTATATACATATATATAGTAACGTTTTATATATTTTATATTTTATTTATGTTAACATGTGTAGTGGTTTTAAGGATTGGAACAAAACCACTATTGCTACTGCCAATGCCTTGTGTATGAAAAAGAAATTGTTTCCTTTGTAACTCCTATGAGGCTGGAACTTAATTTGGTGGGCCTCTTTTTGTTTGTTTTATTTGGCTTCTTCTTTCCTATGACTTCATTCTTAATAATTTTATATTTTTATATTTTTGCCCTTTTTTGCTTTTCTCAACTTTTCACCCTATCCTCTTGTAACGACACACTTGTTGAGAGTGAGTAGGAGTTTTTTTATTTTTATTTTTATTTTTTTTGGTAAAATAAATAAATAAAAGAGAAAAAGATTAATACAAGACACTTTTTCTTTGGTACTTACTGGCCATCACTTTCCAACATCTCTTATCTCTTATCCTCCCCTAGTCAGGTCATAACGCAGATTCTTTCACAAACCACCTTTTTTGTTTTTTCTTTGCCCCTTGTAATGGCACCCCATTGATGCTTTCTCTTTTGTCTGGTATCATATAAGGCTTTGACAAATTTATGTTTTTTCTTTTTCCCCTTTTATTTTCTTGCTTTGTTATGATTGTACTAATGGAATTTTACTAGTTTTTATGGAACCCCTCTTCATCACTTGGTCCAACTACATGTCTAAAGAATTGGATACCCTTCTGCCTTGCACACATGGAAAGTAGTTTTCAATCAAAAGTTTGGTGATTGAGTTAAAACATTTTAGCCAAGTAATGCGAGGCTTAGAGGATGTTTATTTTTCATATTTATCGTTCTTGATTTTGAATTACGATTTATAATTTTTTACAGTAATTTTATCTTATAAAAATACATGTAAAGCGAGAATAGTTTTAAATTATAGTTCTAAATATATGAACTAAACGTTCACTTAATTCACAGCATTGATGTTGAGACTTTTTTGGTAATTTTTATTGTGCAATTTTAACGATTAGGATTGTAAATTTTATGTTACATCTTTGGTACCAATGTAAGGAATTTGGAGAATGTTATATAAGTGGATTTATATTGAAAACCTATTTTTTTTAAGTGGGCATGTGTTTGTGGGGAAAAAAAAGATTGAAAAATAAGCGTTTTAGCCTATCAAAATTTGACGCATAGGTTAACTTAACGAGTGAATTGTGCGTTTTAGGGAGTAGGCTTTGGGTTCTCTTTTTTTCTTTTTTATTTTTTGGCTCATAGCAGATGTATAGATGCCCGGTAGGGTCATAATAATAGAGCAATTCATGTGGAGATTTCAATTTTCCATTAATTTTATTTTATTTTTTGATAATATTTTGGCCTCCAAACTTTCAATATGCCATTCATTATATACCCAAATCACATCATGTTCAAGTTTCCTCATCTTTGGACGGTGATTGTGGAACTGATGATGGTTTTTTTTTTATTCTTTTTATCTTTTTTTTTTTTTTTCCTAATTCTAATGCCCTCTAGTTGCTAGTCTACCTTGAGCCAAGCTAGGTGCTTTCCCTTTGTGGAAGATAAAACTTGCTTTCAAATTTAACAAAATGAAATGATTCGTTGATGTTTGGTTCATAGATTTAAAATTATGATTCAGAATCATTTTTAATTTATGTGTATTTTTTGTGAGAGAAAATACTATAGTGAATCACGAACTATGATTCAAATCATGACACGAATAAACCAACCAAACGTAAATATTAAATATTGGAATGCTGGTGTGGGTTTGAGTTGGAGAGGCTTATTGGGGGGGCATTTGACCTTTTTCAGGGCACTTGGTTGGGGATGTGTAGGGTCATTCTTGTCCAAAATTGAATCTTCTTTAACTAACACTAAAACTAGTCAAGACGACATTTCATTTCAGTTTTATCTCTCCCACCATTCTTTACTACTTTTATCCTGTCCATCACAACAATGACCTTCTCATATTAACAAGATCTTGGTACTTAAAAGATACAAGTAAAAATACTATATAATATATGTACAAACATGTATAACACATACTTTCATATAGTACCATTATCAAATCCATCACAACAAAAAGACATGCTCTAGCAAGGCACAAGAGCAATACTAGAAATATATGTACATATACATATATTGTACATATATCTGTACATGCTCATATTAGCAAAGAGGACATGAAGATGTTCATGTTGTTGGGGTTTTTTCTTTTAATAAATTTTTAATTATTTTTTTTAATAGGTTTTGCTAGTGAGAGACACCATAATCGTTCGGGAAAGTTTGTAGGGCCAATCCCTCCTAAGTGATGAATTAGAAGCCATGACTCTTAGTACATCCGAATAGTTGTGTCAAATGTCGACCTATTTGGGGCCGAACGAATCATAACTAGCTAGATACAAATTGCATTGGTTTGTGGGCAAAGAAATCACACACACACACACACACACACACACACATATATATATATATATATATATATATATATAATAGATACAAAGGACAGTGGAATGCAGCATGTAAAAAGCCGCTCATTTTGGATCCAAAATGGTGTCGCACAGTGGTGCTTAATTCTCCTTTTTGGTATCCCATCTTCTTACCATTATTCCCTCTACAAATAGGTGCTTGGTGTCACACCTTTTCTTGTCTTTTTTTTTTCCCGCCTCTCTTATAGCCCTAGACAAGTCTTTTACTGGGTTTTAATTCCATTCATATATATCAATTTTTGATAGGTTGAAAAAAATTAGGGTCCAAGTATCAGCTTACGAAGAGTAAGTTTTAAGTAGGAAGCAGGTTATATAAGATTTTTTTCCGTGATTTAAGTAGTTTGTTTTCTGTAAGGGCCACTTGAAGGGCATACATTAGAAGATTATGAGCAAAACTGATAACAAAGATACCTAAATTATCAAGAGAAAATGACAGATTCTACATTTTTAAGTACCCGACTTTCTAAAAGTACCATACAATTTGATTAGTTCTAATCAAAAGGTAGAGGTATATGGGTTAATGTTAAGGGGTAGAAATAAAAGATGGCTCGATTTCAAGATATATTTTTAAAAATTGCACACATATCAACCATTTCAATTCTCGTTCTAATTGGGACACATATTGACTTGCTCCTAGGAGACCCAGATGGACACTCCACTTGCTATTTTATGCCAAAGGGGCTAAGAGCCATTGTCAGTGGTGTTTCCATTTGGTTGTTTTCTTTTTCTTTGGTTAGTGTCTTGACAATTATTGCATGCAAAGGAGAGAATTGGGGCAATGAAGATTGTTGGTCTTTTTTTGGGCTTAAACCTATATATGGCACACCTAGACCTAAGCTAGACTCGACCGAACAAGTTTCACTATTGCCCTACAAAATGAGAGAAAAAAACTCCAACCAAAAACATTGAGATAACTTTTTCTTCTTCCACTTACAAGACCTTATCTGAATCAAGGGTGGCTGAGAGTAAAGATTTTTTATTTTTTTATTTTTATTTTTTTGTGATTCCTTTTTGACCAATACCAAAGGGTATACATGTAGTACACAAAATACAAGAAAAATAATTGGAATCCAAGCTATTCTAGGGTTGCTTGGTTTCCAATGAATCCTCCACCTTTTTTTTTTTTTTTTTTTGCATGCCTAACTTTTAAAAATATTTTTTTTTCCCTTTAAAACACACACACAGAGGATAAGGGAAAATGGTTGTGAGAATATGGTTTCAATTCATGTACAGTTTTCATAAGATTGAAAATGAAAAGTAGAAAAAAGTTGATTAGTAAAGCTCACAAACAACTTATGTATTAGAAGCCAGCTGCATGAAAAGAAGAAAAGTAGATGACCATCTCTTCAGTCAATACTTCTCCTTCATAGCACTTGTCTTCTTCCATCGAAAACCGGCAAATGGGACAGGTTTTCTTGCATAAACTGAACCATCTCTCAACACAATCTTTGTGAAACTTGTGCTGGCAAGGAAGAAGACTAGTTTCTTCTCCTTCCTCCTCCAACGTCGACAAACAAACGCAACAAAACTCGCCCTCCGCGCCTGTGCTCGATTCTGCGGCTGACTCATCAAGCCCCTCTTCGAGTTTTAGCTCAACATTCGGTTCAATCACCTCCCAGGAAGCAGGAGCTTCCTTGAGTCTTGGTTGCCCTTTTAGGCTTATAAAGTTACAAATAACGGAGAGAAACTTGTTAAGGACCATTTGGATTGAATGCCGATTAGCATTCTTATTAGGTCTTTAATAATACAGAGTTTTGGTTTAAGAGACTAGTTTTGATAGCAATAGGTGAATTTGTTATTTTATGCATTTGCTTGAGTAAGAAGAGAGAGCATATTGAAGCTTTCCCAACATTCAGTGGTTACACCTAAACAGGAGTGTTACTTTGGACCTTATTTTCCTTATTAATAAATCAGACAGAGAGTATAAACTTACAAATTAATCCCATCAAACAATTATTTTCATCCTTGCTTAGTCATTAGTCAAAATTCTGACCCAACTATGATGGTAAAAGTCTACCCATATAATTAGTGAAACCTTTCTGCCGCAATGTGATTTTTCTTGTTTGTCAACAATCAACATTGGATAGGACCAAGAATCCATGGCACTGAAAATGTTAGGAATCTGGTTAAACATGGACAGATTTTCTCGGCAACAAGAATAAGAATTATGTGGTAGGGTACTACAAAATCATATATGCACCACATAATTTTTAACTGTCTAACCACGTTAGATCAGAATCATATTAAATTAAAAAAGTGTGACAATTTAATGAAACTTAAGAAAAATCTGACGGCTCAAAACTGTATGCTTCTGATAAAGTATTTTTTCCGTATCCTACCAACTCCAACAAGAATCAGCATCTAAACCAAGCAATCCTTAAAATGTTCATGAACAAGCCTCTTCGAGGTCCTAACCGGTAGGTACATTGCATAACTGATGTTGAAATTCCTTGCCTATATGAAACTCAAGATAGCAACAGCCAAAAAAAAAAAAAAAAATCTTCCAAAGCTTGTTGGTGAATTGTGATGCGGTGAATTGTGATGCGGAGACGTTTGTTTCCTATATTCGTCATTGATTCTGAATCATAATTCATGGTTCTTTACAGTGTTTTTTCTCACAAAAAATACACGTAACACGAGAATGATTTTAAATCATAATTCTGAATACATAAACCAAACGTCACTACGTCTACACTCTTAAGTACCAGATATCCTAATCAATTCCAAAACAAAGAAGCTGGTAGAGCCCGTTTCCACCCAAAGTTACCCCAGCAGAAAAGATCAATTTCAATTCATTTCTTAGGGTCCTTCTACGGTAAGGTCTCCTACCAACAGTGCACATTTCTAAACATTAAACTTTATTAAAATCACATCAAAGTACAAAAAAAAAAAAAAAAAAAAAAAAAAAAAAAAAAAGGAAAGGACAATTTCTGATATAAGATCTGATAGGTAAAATACAAAGACCTACCTGCATTTCATTTTTTCAAGTCCTATCTTAGAAATCTCCTTCATACCAGAAACCCATCTATGAACTTAACAAATTGCTAAATAGAACTAGTTAGCAACCTGACAGGCATAATTCTTTCTGTAATATACATCCATGAGAATTTATATAGTGAGACATGAATTTATCAATAGTAAGACTAATGAAGGTCATGTTAAGGGGAGTCAAATCACTGTTATGTTACATTATTTCACATGGGCATTGGGCAAACAACACAAATTGGATATATAATTGTCAGAAAGTGATACACTTGGAGAAAATTTGGACAAATTCCAACATGGGTATTTCCCTAATGATGCAAAAACATCTGAAATTTACACAATTCATCCTCAGGAACTGCCTCTTCTTTATGACTCACTCTTCAGAGATCATTCTGGGTATCTTCAAGTTTTTGGGTGTCTTCAAGTTTTAGTATTTTTCCATCATTTGGAACTAAACAAGGGATCCCATCTTTTATCTATCAAAAACACAAGAAAGAGAAAATGATCACAGAAATGAATCCATATCAAACATATTAGAAGGCAGCTTATATGGTGCAAAATAGTTATTACCATAACTTTTTCAATCCAATGAACTAGATTGTGGTCATAAAAAGAAAATTTTTGCACTTAAAAATATATTATTAGCAAAACAAGTAGCAAATTTTCACAATCCCAATTCCAATCCCGAATCCAAAAACTAAAACATATATGAATTCTCTGATTAATACATATACACCAAAAAGGTTCAGATTTTAATCAATCCCAAATACAAAAACTAAAACATATATTAATTCTCTGATCCATACATAATTCAGACTTTAATCAAATGGAAACTCACAGGAAAGGATACACCAACGGCGTCGCTTATGAGAGAATTGGTTTCCTCACACAATCTAGAACCAAATGTGAACAGAACAACATGATATTAAAAAAAAAAAAAAAAAACAGAAATAAAGATGAGAAATTTATTGGTGAAAAGAAAAAAGAAAAGAAAAAAACCTCAAGGGTTGTTTGGAAAGTGGGCAGACGAGTATCTGAGAGAGGGTCTTGTTGATGAGGCCATTTCCTGCTTCCTTCATAAGCGTTCTGCTTAGTCTCACCATTTTTGTATATTTTTTTTCTTTTTTCTTTTTGAAGCTGAGACCTACATAAATAACCTTTTCTTCAGTTCTGTTTCTGCTACAAAGTCCATGCCTTGCGATGAAATTCACTTAAGTTCATTTAGCCAATGAACGCACCGTTTTAGGCATAATGCTAAAAACACCTTTATTGAGTGAGCGTCGTCGTTTAGTTGGCAAAAACATTGTCGTTTCTATGCAACATCCATTGCCCATGGATCATTCGCCTCCATGGTGAGAAGCTATCTGGTTCTGGAGATGAAACGAGAATCAATCTCTCTCTCTCTCTCTCCTCTCTTTCTCTCTCTAATGTGAAGCTCTAATGGCCATTATCTCCGACACAACAATCAAAACCAAAACCACTTTCCAAATGAATGGCAACAAGAATCTGTTTCCCCAAACTCCTCTTCCGCTTCAAAAATCCTTCCTTTCTCTCTCCACATTCACACCCTCCTAAACCCACTTTTCCTTCTCACCCATTTTCCTCTTCCTCTTCTTCTTCTCGGCCGTGTCCATGGTTTCCGCTTCTCGACGCTTCGCAAACCTTAATTCAGGTACGCCAAGTCCACGCCAACATGCTCACTTCGGGCATTTTCACCTCCTTTTGGGCGAGAAAATTCCTCAAGTTTTACTCCGATTTCGGCCATGTCGATTACACAATTTTGATCTTCAGATACATAGATTTTCCGGGTGCTTTCTGTGTTAACACGGTTTTGAGGGCTTATTCGGTGGGTTTTGATTCCAATCAAGCTCTGATTTTTTACTTTGAATCGCTCAGAAACGGATTTTCTCCGAATAGTTACACTTTTGTGACGGTTTTGGGGTGTTGTGCGAAGTTGGGAAGTTTGGAATCTGGGGAAATGTGCCGTGGACAAGCGATTAAGAATGGGGTTGATTCTGCTCTTCAAATTCAGAACTCTTTGATTCACATGTACGGATGTTGTGGGAATGTTGGACTTGCCAGGAAGGTGTTAGATGAAATGTCTGAACGAGATTTGGTGTCTTGGAATTCGCTTCTTGATGTATATGTGAGAGTTGGTCGTGTGGATGTTGCTCATAGAATGTTTGATAAAATGCCAGAGAGAAATGTGGCGTCGTGGAATATAATCGCCAGGGGGTATTTGAATGGCGGGGTTCCCGGGTGCGTTTTGAAGCTGGTTAGGGAAATGGGGAAGTTGGGATTGAGAGGTGACGGTACAACAGTGGTGAATGCGATCACTGCTTGCGCTCGAGCGAGTAGACTGAAGGAAGGAAGATCTGTTCATGGTTCTCTGATCAGGACCGGTTTGGAATCGAGTGTGTTTATCGATACGGCTTTGATAGATATGTATAGTAAATGTCATAGAGTGGGGGTGGCTTGTACAGTGTTCGACAACATGGTGGAGAAGAATTTAGTTTCTTGGAATGCAATGATCTTGGGGCATTGCATTCATGGCGATCCGTTAGCCGGGATTAGGCTATACAATGAAATGGTGGGTATAAAAAGTTCCAAAAATGAAGAAAGCGACAATTGTGAAATTCTAAGGCCTAATGAAGATGGAGGAGGGAAACTTCGTCCTGATGAAGTTACATTTATCGGTGTTCTTTGTGCCTGTGCTCGTGCTAGACTCTTACCCGAAGGCAAAGATTACTTCAGGGAAATGACTAATGTTTTCGGGATAAAGCCCAACTTTGCACATTATTGGTGCATGAGTAATATTTTTGCTAGTGTGGGGCTTATTCAGGAAGCTGAGGAAACCATCAGGAACATTCCAGAAAATCTTGTGGACGTATCGTCTGATTCGTTCATTTGGGCTGATTTGCTTAGCTCGAGTCGCTTCCAAGGGGATGTTTCTCCGGCAGAAGACATTGCGGTGTCTCTGATTAAGATCGAACCTCAGAAGCTTTCCTACTACAGATTGTTGTTGAATGTGTATGCTTCGGCCGGTAGATGGGAAGACGTTGCCAGGGTGAAAGAGATGGTGAAGGAAAAAGTAGTGGGAAGAATGCCCGGGTGCAATCTTGTAGATTTGAACGAGATTGTCCACAATTTAAAAGTGGGGAACCATTGGCAAGAGCCCAATATTGCTTTGGCTGATTTAGCTCAGAAGTTAAGGTCGTCTGGATAGTTAAACAAAGCAGCAGTTTTAGTTGGCTAATAGTCGATTTTTGCTTACCTAACTTCTCTGCGACTTGGACATACTAGTATTTACATTACTTCATGTGAGAGCTTCTTCCGAGTCGAGCAGGACAATTTACGGCTTTTTTAGTTGGTACGTAAGAGTTGGGATTTGAGTTGTTGTCCCTAGAATTACTCTTTCCAAAAGCATTCTTAAAATATTGCAACGAACGGCAAAGGATGAAGAAAAGGAAACTCTGTTCTTTGTTGTCAAAGCCAAGAGTCCAAGAATGCAGAGAAATTTTTGGATTACGGATGTGAGCTCTGTGGAGTTCAATATAGCCCCTGCTCCAGACCATAAATCTTATTAAATTTTGGATTCGTGTAGTTCATTTTTTTAGTACCCAAGTTGTGTTATTGACTTGTTTGATGGGTGATTCATTTATATAGTCGATTGTTTCAGCAAGTTCCAACTCGATTAGAGAATAAAGTTCCATCAAGCTGAACTGATTACAGAAAGTCATTGTGCTCTTCATTAAAATAACTAGTGATCTAATAATACAGTTCCTTTATTTTTTAAAATGTTTATTTTATTGCACTGGGGGAGAAGAATTTCCTGTATCCATGCCGACAGTACAATATACTTACAAGCTTGAACGTTGAAAATACAAAATGTAACCATACACTTGCGAGAATCTTAAATCTTTCAGCATTGGTGTCGCAAATTACATTGAAAATACATACATAAATACATATATACATAAATACATGAATACATACATACATACGTACATTTGGGGGTCGATGATATCCCACTATTTACCCAAATTGTCTATCTAGACTTTGACAAAAATTTAGACTTGACTCTTTTTGTCAAAGTCGGTCTGGAATTCAAGAGAGTGACAATTTTGGTGCATTTTGTAATAGAAAAAAGAAATCTGCTATGAAAAGCTTATTTAGCTTATTTAGCCTAATTCGGTTTCCATTAATCATTCTCGATCATCTTTCAACCGAGTCTTGTATTGTAGCCTACCTTTCGCAAAAGAGGTCATGCGCATACAGACATTCAGATTATCTGTTCATGGCGCTTTAAAAAATTTTACATAAAACGTCTACTGTAAAAGGCTTTGTATAAAAATGTCTATAATTACACAATACTGCAGAAATATCCACTTATACTTAATACAGAATATATTATACCTGATTTGCCCTTATAATTTATTTTGAGCATGTTTTCTATAATAATATTAGGATATTTTTCTGATTATTTTAGAAATTTGACTTTCCTTTATTTTTTTTCCTTCAATACCAACAGATCAGCACAAGAGATTGATTCTATTTTTTTGGTGCATATTCAATTTTGTTGATGATTTTGTTAAACAATTTTTGTTTATTTTGGTTCTTATTTTTTATACCCTGCCTTTTTGATCTGTCATTTTTAAAAAACTTGATGGAGCTGATGGTAGGTTTGTTGTGAATTGTCATATTTATTCTTGTTTGTAATGATATCATTATTATAGTAATGAAACACCTTTCTTTACAAGTCTGTATTTTAATTATTTTAAATTTCTTGCAACCTTTTATGTTCAGTTAGTTTTATAATAATATCTCTGTTAAAATAATGAAATGCTTGTTGTTGAATACATTTTCGTATTGCTTATGCATTATAAGTTTTATTTCATATTGATATTATCATTATTCTAATGAAAATGCACATTTATGTGTACATTATCGTGTTTATTTTATATTTTCTTATGATATTTATTTTGATAATAAAAATTAATTTACCACATTTTTATCTTTCATATTTTAAGAACTCGTCGGAGATGTTGCTATTTTTGTGCAAACTATCAAATTCATTCTTGTTTGTAATGATAGCATCATTACAATAATAAAACATCTTTCTTTATGAGTTCATGTCTCGTGTATTATTATTATATCAAACTTTTATATTCAGTCAGTTTCATAATGATATGCCTGTTAAAATAATGAAAATGCTTATTCTTGATTACATTTTCTTGTTTTTATGGTTTACATGTTCTATTTCATAGTGAATTATCAATATGCTAATGAAAATGCATATTCATTTACACGTTATCGTGTTTCTTCCATATTTACAAATTGAGTAGTCCCTATTTTTGGTGATTTTAGGTTTTTCATGAAACTCTTTTTTTTTCATTTTTTTTAATTATGGGATTTTTTTTATTGTTTAAGAAACTCTCCTTTTATTTATTTAGGTAGCTTTCATTAATGTAATATTCACATTTCATTTGACTTTTGTATTCAAAATCAAATTATGATTTTATTTTGAAAATTTTCTTAATTTGACATTTCATTTTTTTTTCCTTTTCATTATATAAGAATATAAACATTTTTATATGTATGTTAGTGGACAGTTTTATAAATAAATATAAATTCAGGGCGTTTATAATAGACGTTTATGTAAATAACCCTCCCCTCGATTTAAAGCACTGTGCAGCCTGTCTACAACTCTATTCAGGTGAGGCTGTAGATAGCACCCAACGTCTCCTTATGTGTTACTCACCCAGTCAGGACTTCCTCAGATTGTACGTATTGAGAACATATTTGTGCCATGAATTATATCCAGGTACCATAAAACAAACCCAATTTTTAATAGACGTTTATATGATTTCTCCTAATTTATGTGTAATTTTATTTTGTTTCCATTTTTTTGTAATTTTCTATTTTTATTGTTTGTTTCTCTATTCGACAGGCAACCTTTGAACACTATAAATAGAGAGGTTAGTTTAGAGCTTTGGATATTCAATTTTTTATCGTCTTGCTGTCAGTCTCATATTTTCTCTCTAGTACTTGTGAGAATGTTTTGCAAGATAGGTTAGAGTTTTCTTAGTGAGGTTAGAGATGAACTTCTGTTGAGTGACCCAATTCGGGATTTTGATTTATTGTGCTGTAAAGTTCAACATCTGAATGAATTAAATCTCATCTATTTTTCTATTACTTTTCAAAATATTGTGTGCCAATTTTTATATAAGTTCAGTCACGCTTTTCTTATGTAATTCTGTCATGCATTGTTTTGTTATTCAAATTATTTTGCAAATTATCTTTTACTGCAATATTGTCAGATTGATATATTGTCGATTTTAGATAACTTGTAATAATAATATTTTCGGAGTCAACATAGAGATTTAATTTATTTGGTTCTTTTTGTGTGTGAATCAAAATTGAAATTGGTGAACGAAACATTAGAGATTCTCGACACCTTACCGTTTTTACTATTGAATTTTCTTCATACAAATTTCCTCCTTTCTATTTTATTTGCAACAAAATCTCAAAAACGCTTATTTTTCTTTAATTCACTTTTCTCTAAGGCTCTTATTATGTTAGTCATTCTTGTTATTTTGTTATCTCTCTGTGGATACGACCGCCTTTCTGTGTTACAATTGACCGCTTGTGAACATCACTTTTGGATGTTAATCAAATTTTGGCACCGTTGCCGGGGAGATACTACTAACAAGAGTGATCAGTAGATTTTAAGCCAAAGAGGTAAGTACATTTTTTATTTTATTTTATTTGTTTCTTTTTCTTGATCTGCGTAATCTGTTTCTTTTCTTTGTCTTTTATTTTATACTTTTAGTTTGTTAGCGTTTTCTCTTTATTAAAATTTGATTTTCAAAAAAGAAAAAAAAAAAAGGGAAGTTGGCTGCAAGTTAACGTGTCTTTATTAACTTTGTTAATCTAATAGTTGCTACATTTTTTTTTTCTTTTATCGTCCCTTTTAGTATTGCAAGTTAACGTGTTTTCTTCTTTTTAGTATTGCTTACCTTTTCATTTTTTTTTTTATTTTCCGTAGTTTAGGTTGCTGAAAAAAAAAATCTCATTGTTAATTTTATTTTCCCTTTTAGTTTTAAAATTGATTGTGAATTGATTTTGTAATCTTTTATTTTTTTCTTTTATAAATTAGGATTTTATTTTATTTTCTCATTTGTATATTTTATATTGTTGCCTAATTTAATTTTTTCTTTTATAGTTTCATTAATTCTTAGGATTATAAGTAGGATTGTAATTAATTGACTATTCTTAATCTCGGAATTTCATAATTTGGTAGATTTAGGCTTTTTACTTTAGAAATAGTTTCCATTAATTAGATTACATTTCATAATTTCCTCCATAAAATTTAATAATTGATTTTGAGAATAATTGTGTGGTTACGTGGAAAGTATAATTTGAGGGAGTTCTGTCTAGGAAAGTTAGTGCTTAAGCGGGCCTCGCCCCACTAATCTTTCCTGGGAACGTTGCTCTGTCTAGGAGACTATTCATTGAGCCAAGAGCTATAGTCTTTCCTGGGAGCACTCTCGGTGGTTATGATTTACGTTGCTATATAATTATTTTCTTTTATTTTGATTAAAAATTTAAAAATAAAATAAAAAAAATATTAAAAAAAGGGCCGCTTAGGGTGAATGCATTGGTATAGAGACGAACTAGGGAGATTTGCTCAACGTCCAGATGTAGAAACCCCTAGTGAAATTCTATCCGACTCGTCTTCTACGTCTCCGTCTTCACACTCGTCGTTGGAATTCGCATTTTAAAATCTATTTGCAATGGCACAACACGAGGAAGTTCAGCAGAGGACGTTGCAAGATTACCTGTACCCAACGCGTATGGCCACCCTATCTTGCATCATGTTCCCACCGAATGCACCACCCACGGATTTCAAGCCGGGCATGATTGCACTTCTCCCAACCTTTCATGGGTTAGAGAACGAGAACCCCTATGTACACATCCGGGAGTTTGAAGAGGTGGTGGCCACCTTTCACAGTCGTGCTGAGGCCACAAATACCGTCAAATTGAATTTTTTCCCTTTCTCTCTGAAGGACAAGGCCAAAAGCTGGTTGTATTCTCTTAGGCCCAAGTCTATTGGTACGTGGGAAGAAATGACGACGACATTCTTCAACAAGTATTTCCCACACCATAAGACTAACAATTTGAAACGACAGATCTCGAATTTCGCTCAGAAGGAAAATGAAACTCTCTATCAAGCTTGAGAGCGTTTTAAGGATCTGTTAAATCTGTGTCTCCACTATGGATATGAAAGTTGGCGCCTCGTAAGCTATTTCTACGATGGACTCACAATCCGAGAGCGCCAATTTGTTGAGATGATGTGCAATGGAGATTTTCTCCAGAATGATCCTGACGAAGCTATCGAGTACCTGAACGAGTTAGCTGAGAAAGCTCATACTTGGATTGGACCGAGTGCTACTGAGAGCACCAGTAGGTCCCGACCAGTTGGAGTTTATCAATTAAGGGAAGAGGACAGCTTCAAGGCCCAAGTTGAAGCTTTCACGAAGCAAATTGAGGCCCTAAAAAGTAAAGATAGTAAAGGACCCCACATGGTGGTAAGGACAGAGGCACAGGAGCCCTATTTTGTTTGTGGTGGAATGGGCCATCTGGCTCAAGATTGTCTCACTTTTGGTGAAATGAGAGGGGTATACGAGGAGCAGTGCAATGTATTGGGCACATACAATAAGCCTTATGGACCTTTCTCAAACATTTATAATGATAGCTGGAAACACCACCCAAACTTCAGTTGGAGAGATCCAAACCAACATGCACAATCATCTGGAGGGCAATGGAAATCAGAGCAACAATCTCAACCACTAAGGACATATTTTGTGCCTCAGAATAACATGCAGCCGAAAGGAAATTCTCTAGATGATACCCTAAAAGCTTTTATGGATGCGCAAAATAAGACGAATCAAAGAGTTGATTCAATGCTCACGATGTTGGTTGCCGAATCGAATCCGGCTGCGGAGGGAAGAGGCGGATCGTGTATAACAAAAATTTTCATAAAACTTTTGAGATACTCTATAGATTATATTAATTTATGCACAAATAAATTAATCTCATTAATTCATTTATTAAGAACTCAATCAGGAAAAATACCTGGAAGCCGACTAAGATGATAACTTGAGTTCTTTGACCACGAACAGTCCTTGCTCCAATCTTTGTGTTTAGAAAACCAATGTCTTCCACGTCAATTCCTAGAATCCACGAAGACGTGTGTGTGGACACACATGAGACAAAACGGGTTACAATAAACACTCGAATTTCCACAAACACCAATGCATGCACGATGTGGAATTTTTTGGAGAAAAATTTTTCCTTCTCTCTATTAGGGAATTTCGACCACCTCTAAAATTAGGGCAAAAATTAATTTCGAAAATTATCTCAAAAATTGTCACAAAAAATTGTGTCCACAATTTTCTATTATTCTCTTATTTATAGAGTAGAAGTCAAACTTCTAGAAGGAATCAAATCTCTATCTCCAATTTGAATTTCGAAACAAAATCTCCTCTATCCCTTATCACTTAGTGTGGCCGGCCAAGATAGGGATTCTCATCCCTGTGTGGCGCCAATATCAGATAGGGAAGGAAGAGAAAATCATCCTTTATCCTGTAGTCCAATTTTGACTCAAATTTAAATTCCAATTTAAGTCAAACTTAAATTAATTTGAATTCTAAATTGAACAACTTATCAAATAAGTTTAAGTGGATAAATCTAGATGTGTTCAAATTTAAATTTAAATAATCACATTATTTAAATAATAATTAATTCTCAATTAATTATTTTTGAGTATTTAATTTTAGAATTCTGTAATTCTAAAATTCCCATTTTCCTCTTTGTGTCTGGCAGAATTACTAGGACGACGCGGGGACTAATGGACCTATAATCCTGAGCTCTAATAAAATTAATAATTAATTAAACACTTTAATTAATTAATTAATTCTATTAATTCCAATAGTTACTCCACTATAAACTTGGAATTGCACTCTCAAAA